TAAAGTTCGGTGGAGGTTGTTCTCTTTGAGGTACTGCATTATCAGCCGGATCACACTATAGAGACATTACAATAAAATAAAAAGATTGCATTGTTTACGAGCACAATAAAATTCTCTGAGAATCTAATCTGAGAAAGCAGAGAATTAAAGGTGCATGGCGCAACTTTTATAGTGAAGGGTCAGGATTTATTACTGATGTTTCTATTGTTTCTAAAAGTACCACGTTCCTTCAGTGAATAGGGGTGACTCTCCACAGATCTGGCCTGTAATGTAGTGCAGTGCTGTAACCTTTTTGTCTCCCTTGTGATCAGTAATTTAAGGTAACATTCTAGACAAAGCAATTACATTTCCATGGAGATAAGCAGGTGGCAGACACTCCAATAGAAATGTTACGCAGTGCAATTTATTAATAATTTTACGTAATTTTACATGTATTTAAGCATGATTAATGTCTATATAATTTGACTTTAATTTGTATGTTACATGTTTGTTTATGTAAAAAATAATGTATGACGTCAAGCTGAAAGTTAATAGCAAATCAATAGCCTAATTGTTTTATGAAGCAAACAATTCATCTAAAGTGCACTGTGTAACATTTGTGATAGACGGTCCACCACCTGCTTTTCTCCATGGGGATGAGATTGTTTTGCCTGGATTGTTCCACAGTACTGTATTACGGTACAGTATTATCAGTTGGTGGACCCTCCACAAGAAAAGTTACACAGTGCACCTTTAACTGAAACATTAGGGGGATATAGTATAATCTGAAAGGTTTGACAACAGAACTTTAGCATTTTCAGTCTGTAACACTTTAGAGACTGTGCCATACGCATAGTTGTTGCATTGTTGGTTTGCCCCACTACAGAGCCACCTGCTTTTCAGTTTATATTAAGAAACACCCCCTGCACAGCTCTAGGTCACACAATTGGATTTAATAATGCACGTACATTACACTACTACAAAAAAGAGGCATGATGGAGCAATGCCATCACTCTAGAAAGAATAAAGAAAAAGAAATGTTTGGATGCTCAACATCATGTATGTGGATGAGACACAACTACTGCAAGTATTTGTAGATTCATGACAAGTACGAAATACAAAAACAGTATGCAAAAAATAAAAACATAAACAGCAGTGAATGGCATCATGCACAAATTGCGCACACATATTCCACCATCTACAGACGACTGACTTGACATTGTATCACTTAATCATGACTTACTATCTCGTTTACTCAACCATGCCGACTACTGTTATTATTCTCATGCACTGAACATCCCAGAGCACTTACTCAGAGGGCTCCATCTCCACGGCCATGCTGCTGTTTATGCTGCTGCTGCTGCTGCTGCTGCTGCTGCTGCTGCTGCGCACTGGTCTGACGGTGAGGCGTCTCGGTCTGTAAAGCTCGTTTGAGCCACGTGAACCACGCGTTATGGGAACCACCCACCCCACGTGCAGCTCCTGTCCCGCCGTCTCAAGCCTCGAGAATGTGCTAAACAGACGGCTGTAGTTACACCTCCTTTCTGACGCAGACTGTTGTAAAGAAACATTTAGTGGCCCCTTGTTGGGGAGGAGGTGGAGAGCCCCGTGATGCTGCTGCGGCACTCTGCCACGACATCAGCATCATCAGCACCACGCGTGGCTCTCGTGCCTCTCAGCGTGCCCCTACTGCACCCAAACACCAACCATCACACATGAGCTACTTAATATTCTGCTGGCTTCTGTTAACGGGGTAACACCTTCATTTGCGCCATTTCTCACAGAACTGCGCCGTTAATCCAACATGTGCGCAGGTACACCAACATACCAACCTGTTGGCGAAAACATAATTTAAAACTTGAAACTTGATTCTTTGCATGTCTTTTCTTAAACAGGCTTCAGCACATGTTCAGATCAAAACACATTTGACCTCAAGTCAAATACAGCCTCACAATATATAAACTGACAATTAAAACAATGATTGCATTTGACATGCACGTACAATAAGCACATAAACAAGCATAAACATCTCACAACAAACTTGCAGTTTCTCATGTCTCTCATATCCCTCAGGTCTCTCAGGTATCTCAGGTAGATATCGCGAGAACATACTTGTCGGTCAAATTGGCTGTGGCACATGTTTGTTAAGTGACTGGTGCATTTATCAGTGTTGCACGTGCGGGCGACTTGCTTCATTATCTTGAGTGGCCTGAAGCTGTGATCCTGTGATCCAGATTTGAGGGGTTATATTTCTATTTGTTGATTTGATATTATGCGGAGAGAATGCCTCTGAACAACAACCAGGTGTGTGTCATTATTTCATGTGTTCGAGTCCATTGTTCACGCAGGCCTTGACTTAAAGGTACATTATGTAACTTTTCTGGTGGAGGATCCGCTTGTCTGCATGGATGTTATTACTTTGAACGGAATATTCCATGTAATATATCTGTGCAGGTGACACTACCAGGCCAAGTTACAGGCCATATCTGTGGAGAGGTGGCCCCACACATTATATGAAACCACGTTTTCCCCAGTATAATGTAGCAGAAATTCTATCTGCAATATTGAGTAAATGCTAGACTGAAAAGTTTATCTCATGCTGTGGGATAATACCTTCCTGGCAAATCAGTAACATTTCTTTGGCGACCAACAGGTGATGTACCCTCCACCAAGTTACATAGTACAGCTTTAAATGTGTTTGTTTGTAGAAAATGATTCAAGGGGTGGACAGTGCTGCTGCCAGGATGGCCAGGCTTCCTGTTGTGCGCTCTGCTTGGTCCAAACTGTCTGTCCTTTACACCAATACAAAATGCTCCCGTCCCGACCTGAGGTATATTTGTGATGCTCTGGAGGACCGTGCAGTAAATTTATGCACAAGGGCCACGCACACCATCTCTCCTGTCATAGTCATACTGGAGCCTCAAAGTGAGTAATAAAAATAACGATTTATTTCTTTAGCCGCTTTTTTACTCATGTGTATGTCTTTAACAGTATCCATGGCGAATGACATTGCAAGCAGAAGTCTGGATTGGTTGGAGTCTGCTTTCCCATTGCTTCAGGCACCAACAGAAGAGGTAACCATACAAATACCTGCACATAATATTTCAAACAGTCAGGCAAATAATTTAATGGCCATGTGAATTATTCTTAGATTTCCATACACAGCCTGCAGACTTCCTCAACCCTTGGCCATGTTTGTCTTGATGTAACACATGTACATTTTGCACAAAACGATTCCAAGTTGCCTTTTACAGTGTAGAAGAACAAACTGCTATTATGAGTGCCAGTGACCATAGTAACTTTGTGAATTTAGGCCTGACATATTAATACAAAATTAAGGCTTGTCACCACGTCATGTGAGTGTGAACTATACTTTTATGTAAATAAATAAACTTTTTCCTGCAGATTGTTGCCGCTGCCAAAGATAAAATGCATGAAGCCAAAGAAATGCTGAGTGTCATTGCCACAGGGACCAAAGGCCGCATACAACACACAGTGGAGCAGGCTATGAACACAGTGCTGCACACAGACGGTCATTCAAGTCCATTCATAGAGAGAGCTGTGACTGTGGCAGGTGCAGGACTGGACCATGCACTCAACTTATCTGAAGCTCTGGTGGATTGTATGGTGCCCTCTGCTGGTGAAGAACCAGGTATGTGCAGTAACAGGTTGGTTGTTGAAGAAAACATAATGCTTCCTGTACTAAGCTCTAAACTATAATCTGCACCGTTCATTATTTTACTTGTTTTTGTATATCGCTGTTTGTTGTAGTAAATCACAATATTGATCTAAAATGGCTGAAGTAGCAGAAATGGTCCATTGATTTCTTCTTCAAAACAGAACTGAAAGGCCCTGCTCTTCCTAGTGGCATTTCAACGTGGCACATTTTTATTTCTGCATTTTTACATTGAAAAATCTCTAAATGACAATGCTGAACCTTACATGTATGACTTGTATTGAAAAATCACAAGTACGGAGAAGTAGACAGGTATAGGGGGTAAGTTAAAACAGGAATTTTCTGTGCACAAAAGCCACAAATGCAGGACAATACAGGATTGCTCAAATATGTGTGAATCAACTGAAAGACAAAGTTTATGAGGGAACACTGCTAAAATCATATACAAGTCAATGTCACATATATATCTTTTAATACATTACAGACCTGTAGCTAGTAGCCAGTTTAGTATTTCATATATCATTTATATAACTTAAACAAATATTGCACTGCTAACATCTACCAAAACATACATTATGTGCTTCTTTTTTTGATCTTGCCATTACAGAGGACTCAGTGGAGAGGTTGGATGCCACCCCTCGTAGGACTTACCCTGAGAGACTGCAGTATGTCAGCACCAAGTTATATAAAGGATCTTACAAGGTATGCGATTCACAGGCATGAGCAAGTCAATGTATACATGCTAAAACATGAATATTGGTTAATTTTTGTAGTTAAAGATATTAAATTTTTTTTCTTTGTCATAAAGGTTTACTGTAAATGAGTAGCCATTATAATACTATCACAATAAGGCATATTAATACACCTCAAAATTATCTTTTCTACAGGCCATAGAGACACTGTCTCCCAGCTGGGCTCGGGGCCTTCCAAAGTGTCTGTCATCTTTCATATCCAGACTCCCCCTGTACCTCCAGAATCAGACCGCGACCCTGATCTTGTTCATGTTACAGATGTACACCTTAAGTTGTCCTTCACCTCAACAAACGGATACTGAAAACAGCCCCTCGACCCTTTCTACTGGGGTCTCACCCTCTCGCAAAGATTGGCTCACAGTGGTTAAGTGGCAGGAGAGTCCCACCTGGAGAGTAAGGCTGCGCACATCTACTGACTGTGACTGCAAGGAGCTGTGAAACACCAACATTGTTTATGTAATGATATGATCACCTTTATTATGAAACTTGAAGCTTTGTGTTGGACGACACACTGGGCAATAAAAACACATTGTGGATGAATTTAAATTTAACACTGGTGTGAGTAATTGGACTTAACTTTATCTTTAAAAAATTGTAAAATTATACATCTTAATATACTTATTTTAAACAAGATTAATAATTGTCAACTGCTAAAATAAAAATTCACTCACTAATGATATTCTCACACACTGAATATGGTCATTAGTTGGTCAATGACAAACCTGGCTACATTAAAACTTAAATTTTTTTAAGTTATTTAAGAAGAAACCTTGTTTTCATCATTGCCTGATATTTCAGAAATATATTTAAGGTTTGATTTAAAAAAACAAAACAAAAAAACCCCTGCCCTCTGTCACAGGTGCTGTCAAAGGCACAGAGCATCCCAGCTGCTCAGTCTCACATTAAACACTTAACCTGAAACAGTGACTCAAGTGGAAACAGGTCTGTGATCACTGAACCTTAAGGTTTAAACAAAAAAAAAATGTAATGTGCTTCCTTTTTGTACAGTACCAAATCTAATCTTGTCCTGTCAGGGACTTCAGATGCAAAGGCTTTGAGCCAATTCTGGCATTTTCTTTAATAGGCATTATGCCTTTAAAATATATACAAATATTAGAATTTATCATTTCAATAATGATAAATATAATATTGCAATATGTGAGCTACTGTTTCCAAATAATTTCCCTTGTGGATCAATAAAGTGTCAAAGTCTAATGTCTTTTTAGGGCTATTTAATATTGAACCCTCACATGTAGCTCACATTTGGTCCAGTGAAAACTAAAATTTTGATCTAGAGCCAACTAGAAAAAAAAAACCTGTTTCAAACTGCAGAACAGCATTTAACAGCAATGTTTCTTCAGACATATTCTAGCTTTGAGTGTGAATTTGTACATGCATATGTATTCTGTTCAGTCATGACTTGGGCTGGAGCCATTGACATTATCCCAACAATGCACATTTTACTAACACTTAATCTTTTAGACAAGATTGTAATGTGATTCCATGGGAATGAGATTAAAACACTTTCAGAAAATTCTCCATGGAGAGAAGTTTATGCCATAACTGAAGTTATAGTGGAAGGAACATTTTAATGGGAACAAGTGGAGGTCCTCCGGGCCAAATTAGTTTTGTGGATATGTAAGCCCACCCATAATGTTAATTTCTACAGCACAAAGTGTTTCAAGAAGTTTGGCTAAAAAATTACATACTGTGGATTCACAACCAACCAAAATAGTCACTTAAGTGAATACTGTAGACCTACAACAGTTGTGACATGTTTATCTTCCAATTTCATTATAACAGATATGCAAAAATCCTGTCTAGAAATTAGATACTGAACAATTACACAACCAGTGAATAATGAAAGACACTGCATCGCCTTTTCATCAAAAGGTCATTCTTTATTTAAACTTTTACTTTTGGCTGGACTCTGACTTGGATGTGGATGCTCTCAGAGATGAAAGGCGGCGCCTCTTGGCGATCTGTTCCTGACGCTTCTCCTTGGCCTCCTGTTGAACAGATGAAACCAAAGTCAAACAAAAGAACTTTATCATATATATCAGGAATATATATGTGTATATCAGGAAAGATGACTTGCCTTCATCCTCTTGGCCAGCAGCTTAGCGTATTCTGAGGCCTCCTCCTTGTTCTTCAGAGTGCGCTGCCTCTTGAGGGAGATACGGCGACGCTTGTGCTGCAGCACACGGGGAGTCACCAGTCTCTGGATCCTGGGAGCCTTGGTTCTAGGCTTCTTACCTGTGAACAGGATCAGATGTTCATATAAATGCTGAAGGCAAAACATTCAAAGTCCCATTGTATCCTTAACAATCCAGGACATAGAATATAGACACAGGCACAGAAGACAGTAGAACCTCAACCTTCTTCCAAGGCCAGAGAAGATGTTACCAAAACTGCACAGAGCTTAAAATAAGATAATGGACAAATGACTGCACTGAAACTGTCTAGCAATCATTTTAAAAAGCTCATTCTGTATGCAATGAAAAGTAGAGTTTACATCTCCCACACTGGTGACTTTTTTGGCATATAAGTGGTCATTTTAACAAAAATGGTCACTCTGAATTAGAGTTGAACTTTGTCCAAAGAAAAGCATTTACAAAGCTTGTGAGCTCTGAACAGAACAGGCTTAACTCGATCCAAATTTGGTTTGGTCAACACATTCTAGTTTGGTGGTACTGGTAAGACCCGGAGGTGACTCCAGTTCCCTTTAGGCAAAGCTGCAGTTTGCTTGTCACAGGCTCTTAATACTATATATCACAGGTTACTAAAACAATCATTAGATTTCAGATTTTACCAAAAATCCTGCCCTTTATGCAGTTTTGTAATTTGTGTAGTGTATAATTTTACTTCTTGTTTGGACACAAGCAGCAGATATGACATGTAAAGATTACCTAGCATCAAGTGTTAATAAAGGCCAAAATTTAAATGGCACAATACTTATGACAAAAATTAGACCTTTATTAAAACAATGCATAAACTCTGCTTTTTGGACTGAATTGATAAATCTTTTCAGGAGCAACAGTCTTACCTTCTTTAGTCACAGGTCGTCTCACAACATACTGTCTAACATCATCTTCCTTTGCCAAGTTGAAGAGTTTGCGGATCTTGCTTGCCCTTTTAGGACCAAGGCGGCGAGGGACAGTGCTGTCGGTCAGCCCTGGAATGTCCTTCTCACCTAACAGTAAAAAAAAAAAAAAAAAAAAAGTCCTGAATTATGCAGTGTTCAGTGGGGATGGAACAAGCTCTCTAAGATTTTCTCCTGTCTTTGCATTTGGCAATACTCCAGACTAAGTGATAGCACCGATATTGACAAATGAGTGCCAATTCACCCATGGAACATGCAGTGTCTTCTACACAAACGCACGTTTCCTGCATTATATCAAAATTTATGATCTATCAGAGTATTAATATTGACTTAAATCCTTTTAAAGCCCAATATGCATTAAAGGCTAATTATGAAACTTACTTGATGTCATTTTTACAACTGCATATAAACACAAGTCAACACAATATATAAAATATAAAATCATGTGACCAAAACGGTGGAGCAATAAATATTTTGGTAAATAGTAAATCATTTACCGAATATGACAAGGAAAAACACATGAGGCATTGATCATTTCATATGCATAATTGACACTTGTCATTTATAAGAAATGGGAGAGCAATGCAGTTCAACCATGCACTGAACAGCTTGGTCGCATCTGGTAAGCAGCTCTGCAGTTACTTTCGCAACACCTGTCCCCCCTTTACGATTACTGACCAATCAGAAAGGGTTTACCGGTGTGCCACACACTACATAATTAAAAGGTATTCTCACACCATCACGACAAGTTGGGTAAATGCCAGAGAGTTTTTGTGCTGTGTGAACTCTGGTGCGCTGTAACAAAGGCTACTGTTTCTCCAAGCAGCTCCTTTTGTACTCACTGCAGAACTGGACATGAGCATGACACAGCAGCACCTCCTAAATCTGCAGGGTAAAGCCTTAATCTGTGTGCTATTAAGAGTCCATTCCTCTGCTGTCTCCAGCACCAGCCTCAGTGTATTGTGCAATTTAAGATAGAAATGACCACACAGCATCAGAAAAGTGCAAGCAGGTCCACTGAGCTCTGGGTTTGACAGAAGATTATATTTTGAGTTTGTCAGTGTTGAGTTAATAAATGAGCAGCATCTGAACCAACAGTGAAGTAAAAATGAAACGTGGCACTGCTCCGCAGAGCTTTTGCGTAAATGAAAACTTAGATGTATCCATAATGAACTTCTGTTACCTTTTTTGACAATAACCAAGTTGAGAACGCTAAGGTTAGCGTCAACGATGCAGCCACGGACAGACTTGCGTTTGCGCTCGCCAGTCCTGCGGGGGCGATAACAGGAGTGGCCCTTGCTAAGCAGCAGGCGCACACGGCCGTGGGTCAGGACACCCTGCTTCATTGGGAAACCCTGCTTGTCATTGCCTCCGCTGATGCGCACCACATATCCCTGCAAACCAGTCACAATTTCAGTATCCAAGTAAGAAAACTTGCTGGGATGTTTTAAAATCTCACATTACATGTTACTAGGAAAACTATCAAGAAAGCAGTCAATTTTAATTAATAGTTTAAGTGTGTCAGAGCGTTGCTGTTTCAAACAGACATGGTTCAGAGGTCTGTGCGCATCTGGTGAGCTGCTCTGATTTCTTTGGCTACACTCTGTCCCCCCTTAATGACCACATTCAAATCAGAAAGGGTATACTAGTGTGCCAACGGTACAAATGCCCCATCAAAACCACACTCACCTTCCACTCATCGCCCAGAGGGTCAGCAGCCACTTCAGTGGCCATGCGCTTCTCATAGAAAGTGCGAAGCTTGCGCTCATCATCAACCTCAATCAGCTTCTGGCAGCCAGTAGCGGGAAACGAGATGTTCAGCTGCAAAATGAACATTAGACATTATTATAATGAATACATCTCCAGACTCCAGGTGGCGAAACATAACAGACAACCATGATCATTAATTGAAACAAAATGCACAAAGAGTATGTCACCTTCATTGGGTACATTCATTGCAGTTGTGCACATGTGGTAGGTTAAGTACTTTTCCATTTAGAGCCATATAAAAGACAGGGTCATTGCTTTACCGGCAGGTACCTCCCCAAAACCAGCTGCATAGGCCAATTACAAGATTTTGACGCTACAATGGCTAAGTTATATCACAGCAAACTATTGAAGTTAGCAAAACGACATTGCGATTTTTATTTGCGATTTAAAGACACGTCAATCGGACCCACATTTTTGCCTGAACGCAGCCATGTTTCTACAGCCACTATGCCAAGAGAAGCTACCATGGTTAGCACCAAGTGCAATCAAAGCTCATCCTGAGCCATACAGCCATTAAATACAAATCATCGTTATTGGGGATGAATAGTCTGTTTGTGCCATCACCCGCCGGGGGCTATTTTTAATATATCACCAACAGAAGTGCAACTTTTGGTGTAAAAACATGTACCTTCATTTTGTCAAGCCGACCCAACGACGGTCCGCCACGGAAAAGAGGCCGGATATCCGCTGTGAGGTCTCACATAGCGCTTATATGTTCTCGCGAGAACTCAAACCAAATCAGGAAAAAAATCTATCAGTCATGTATCTATGTCATCAGTGCTGTATTGAGATTTTTGTATCAAAAAATAAATGTAACTAAATTAAATAAATAGGCACATCTTGCATGGCTAGGTTGCACTGCTAAAAGTCAGTAATGTATGTATCAGTTATTTTAAACTGAAAATTTAAGCAAGCCGATTTGTCCTTCTTGAATCATGTGATCCGTGAACCAAAAAATAATTGTTGTACAGTGTATGGGTACAGTGATTTTAATAGCGTGGTGTGAATGCGTCTGCGCGCTGAGCCCGCAGCTGTCAGCGTAAACGTCACGACTAGCGGAGTCTTTGTGAACGCGGAGCCTCAGTCTCTGAGAGCAGAGCACTTTAAAATGCACACATCACGGACACTCCATAGTTTGGCGCGTTACGCATCGTGTCAGGATTGATGCTTGTTTCTGAATCTAAACGAGGATTAGGCCAAGCGCGTACAGTAGGAGAGACTTTTGTTTACTCGGGATCTCAACGCTGTTTATCGTGTGGCTGTGTCCAGCAGCAGACACAACTATTCCGGAGATGAGTGACGCGAGATTGATTTTTTGGGACCAGATGCAGGCTGGTAGCTCCGACGTGGACTGGTGTGAAGGCAATTATCTTATTTACCCCAGCATCGCTGAGTTTTACAACACGGTTGGTTTTCCTTTGTGTCGCTTTTCTGTTTACAGCTCCCGCTGCTGTTTTTGCCTGAGCTTTTACCTAATGTTTAGCTGTTTATCTTTAGTTGAATAGATTTTAATTTTCTTCTTTTTGCATAAGCCTTTGTTTAGCTCTTTTACAAAACTAAACACAAGCATGACGTCAATAAACACCTGTTCACAGGTGTTGAGCTCACAGCTTCTCTTTCTTTATCATTTCAGATCAGCAACATACTGTTTTTTGTTTTGCCCCCCATATTAATGTGCTTGTTCCGCCAATATGCAACACATTTCAACAGTGGGATCTACCTCATTTGGATTCTGCTTGTTGTGGTTGGTAAGTTGCATGTCGTTTAAGTCCATGCTTGTGTTCACCTTTGCAGTCCCATCTGACCATCCCAACACTGTTGTGAAGTTTGCATTTACTCTTTAAGTGTAGTAACAGTGAACTGTGTTGTATGACTCACTTATAACTCCTACATAAGTACACCGTTCAGATACTGCTGATGTCATATAGACCAACAAAAACAATATCTATCAAGAGCATGTCCTTACATGTCCCAGGCCACGTTATTTTGCCCCAGATGATCAGATCACATTACTTAGTCAGTCATAAATGACTCTTTGATGCTTTTGCCTATAGTAGTTTTCAGTCTGCTGTGTCAGCACAGATAACCTGGCACCTTTGGGCAGCGTAATTATGTTACAGGGCACATTTCTCTCACTCATGAGTGTAATGAACTATTTATTTTATACTAGTATGACAGTGAATTTTAACATGGTTATTGCAACCCTAGAAAAAACAAAATAAAACTGACCCCGTTTTGACCCTTTTTACCATAATAATCTTAAGAGCCATCTCACCCTTTTAAATTGTACTGCATGTATGCAGAATTAATGCGCTCTTTGTGCAAGCTCTGAGTAGGTTTATACAGGTTTCAGTATAAAAAACATTACAGAGGTTGGCTTTGACGTGGCTCCTGTATGGTTGCATTCATCATGTCTAGAAGGATTTTTTTTTATTGCACGATACTAAAATACATGTCCAGTGTTAGTAAAGGATTTAATGTCAGTAACATAGCTGTACTAACTGTGGAAGTGAGTTATAATGCAGAATCTCTTTTAGCTTCTGTTGTGAAAACAAGACTGCTAAGATAAGTCAAAGTCTGCAGGATTTTGATAACAAAGAGCTACCACCACCACCAGTTTTTCAGTTGCAGCCAAGAAGCCCAAATGTTTCTATTATATATGGACAGAGATGTTTTGTATTTGATTTGTTATGAGCAAAGCTTTCAGAAAACACCAATCAAGACTTAGTACATCTTGTTTGCAACGGTTCACATTGGAATATACTAGTATTTCATTAGAATGTGTATATGTAACATCTCTTTAAGTTAATTTAGTTTTTTAAATGTTTACTATAATAGCCACACTCTCTTTCTCAATAGCTGTCTTCTGTAGTTTATTTTGACATTACCATCCTTTTGTTCTTCCTTCATTAGCTATGAACTAGTAATAATGCAACAAACTGACAGTCTCTTGCTATTGCTACTTATTTTGTAAGTATTATTACTACTTATATTGTTGCTCTTTGTTATTATAATATATTATGATGTGTGAGCTACTATGTCCAAATAATTTCCCTTGATAAAGTTTGTCAAAGTCCACATTGTCTAAGATAAATACAATAATTTTACATTTTATAGTCATGCTTTATTATTTTTTGTTTGTTTTAGGTATCGGTTCCACTTACTTTCACGCCACCCTCAGCTTCTTGGGCCAAATGCTGGATGAATTGGCCATTTTGTGGGTACTCATGTGTGCCATTGGCATGTGGTTTCCAAAGCGGTATCTACCCAAGATGTTCAGAAGAAATCGGTATGTTTTAAAACTGACCAGCATTTTTGTGAGACCTGTCACAGTAACACCTTTGAAGTGTGAAGAGTAAATATAAACAATAAAAAACAATAATACTGAAATCAAAACTGTACAATATTTGTAATAAGGCAAAGCAAGTTTATTTGTATAGCGAGAAGAAAATTCAGTTTGTCGACTGGACAAAAGTTAGTTTGGTTGAAGACGTTTCAATTTATTTGTATAGTACAATTCGTAAAGAAAGTAAAACAAAGTGCTTTACAGAATAAGAAAGACATTAAAATCACAATACAAACAATACAATAAGTTAAAAAACATGATTTGCAAAAAGTAATTATTAGAATGAAACACATATGTAATTAGTTTGTTTCTATATTGAGTCATAGAAGTTCATATTTCAACTGCCTACAGCTCAGATCTTATCATATTGCAAAAAAACCCTAACAATTTACCTCTAATACAAAGAAAAAGTCCATATGAATAATACTGACTCCCTAAGATTATTGTTCCATCTATAATTTCATGAACCATGTAGTATAGATAAAGTCGATATTGTATAGCTCAATGTTTATCTGTGCATTTTCTTTGTAAAAGTGGGGAGATTTGGGGTATTTTTGTTGTAATAGTAAGATTTGAGCTGTAGAGGGTCTAATAACTAACTATAATAACTTCTATGGTTAATTATTGTTTCATTTTGTTATTTGTTTGTTGCAGCTCAGGATGTTTGAGTGATACTATCTATTTAAAAATTATTTACAGGGATTATTATTGTTATAGCAGTAGTAGTTTCAATATTATCAATTATCGCAGTATGTCCCTGTAACAAAATATCGTGCTTCAAAATTTGTTATCGTGACAGGTCTGGTCCTGCTGCATTTCTTGTGAGGCCAGCACTTGTCTGGTCACATGCTCTGTCCACTGCCCTGACTGTCCTGTATAATAATAGGCCTTGTTGAGATAGCTGACAGTGGCTAAAGCTACATCACATGCCTCCACTTCTCCTTCCACCATAGTGACCTTCAGGGTGTGGGCTAACACTTTGCAAAGCTGGTTTTAATGTACATACTGCCTGTTCTTATTTCTTAAACAAGCTTTCTTTGTTTGTAAGGCGTAACTAACAAGGATGTTGATGTTCAGTGACTATGAAAGTGTATTTAGTTACAGAATATTGAATGCCTGCATTAAAATGTGTTTTGCAACGTGTTGTGATACTGGGGCCAATCAGAATATTCTGAATACTCTGAATACCTTTACATTCAGTTGTATTAAATTATACTGTAAAGAACATGACGCATCATTACAAACAACATTTTTTGTTTCTATGCATTAATTTAAAGGTGCACTATGTAACTTTTCGGTAGGGGGTCCGTCACCCTGTTCTATGGAAATGTCATTGCTGCCTGGAATGTTCCACAGTGTGACATTAAGTAGATCTACCTTACTTTTATTCAGTTACAGATGGTTTTATACCTCAAAAATACCAAGAAAAACAGGCATTCTGACTGAGAGCGGGGTCACCTCTCCACAGATCTGACTTGGAACTTGGTCTGGTTTGGTCTCCATGGAGCTAGAAATGTTTAATGCCATACTGTGAAACATTCCAGACAAAGCAATAAGTCTCTATGGAGAAAACCATTTGACAGCCCTCCACCAGAAAAGTTACACAATGCCACCCACTGCAAGAGCTATGTTTTGTGTTTTTCTTAACAACACTGTGCCGTTCAAAGCCAAAACTGCATGATAAAGTATCGTAATTTATTCAGTTTAATTTAGAAAAGTAACAGTATTCTGGAAACCACCAAAAGAACCTGTGTCGAATATTCAGAATATGTATTTCTGGTACATGTATTCAGTTGCTTCCCAACTTCCCTGCTGATTTTGTCCTGTCACTTTTTTCTTTGTAGGTTAAGGTTCAAAGTGGTTATTGGTGTCTTGTCCGGGATCACCACAGGACTGGCATTTGTTAAGCCTGTGGTCAACTCACTGTCATTAATGACTCTGGGGATTCCCTGCACCGCACTTCTCATAACTGAACTTAAAAGGTACCATTATGACACACCACTGTTATCATTCTTTGGAGGTCCTAAATTGACTCTTGTGAGTTTTAAGCCATGTTATGATGTTGTAACTCCTCAAAAACATACCTGGAGTTGTGTTTAAAAGCAGTAATAGTAGTAGTTTTCTAGTTAACAGCTACCTTTTACCTTTGGTTCAGTAGAGATGAGCAATTCCAGAGATTAAATTATCAAAATTATTCTTGTGAAGATATATGGAGTTTAAAAACACAGTGAAGCGCTTCCTGTATTATCACATGACAAGCTGGAATGAGTGTTTTCTGTTTAAGAGAACAACACCACGTAAATGTGCAGAATTTGTGTGTTAAACATGTGTGAAACCAAACACAACTCCGGGTATGTTTGTGATAAGGAAACAATATTATAACATAGATCAGAAAAAATGGCATAAACAGGCCCTTTTAACATGAATAATTTTTTCCTCTTCACATGATGTGGCATTTTAATGATTTATTGTTGTATTCACTGTTCAGAAAGATCCGTTTATTTGTGTGCTCCAGCAAGTACAGTGAGAGCAAACATCCCAGTGACCCTTTGTAACCTCACTATTGCCTAATACATAGCTTTAGGAGAACATTCTTGAAAACAAACACCGACCATAGACGTTTCAGACATCATGTTCTTAATGCTTTCCTCTGACACATGAGTGCAGGGGTCCATTTCCTTTTACCATAATATTTACTCAATTGCAACTTGGTCTTTTAACTTTCATTCACCCATTGTTCCACCTGCTAGTGATTCTTGACATTACACGCAGTACCAGTCATCTACGAAAGGAACTTGTTTTTTTGTTCCTCAGTTTGATGCCAAATTCCTGTGACCCTGAGAAATGGACTTTTAGCCTCGGAAAAGTCAACATTCGCCAATATTGACGGACATGGCTTTGACAATAACTCAAGCTATTTAAGTGATGTCAGAATGTTGTTACCTCATCAAAATAACTAAGCTAAAAGAGTCCATACTGCGCTATTTTCTGATCTATGTTATAATGTTGTTTCCTCATCAAAAACAAACCTGGAGATGTGTTTTGTTTCATTCATTTACACATGTTTAACGGTCCTATATTACATCAAAATTGATTCTTGTGAGTGTTGAGGGTTTTTTTTCCCTCAAAAGACTCACCTGGAATTGTGTTTTGTTTTACTCACACATGTTTGCGTAATCCTTTATTGTTAGTCTGACCAAATCCAAAGATCAAAATTCTCTGTTCCATCTTGTGATCGGATGTGGTAATACAAGGAGTGCTCCACTGTGTTTTTAAACTCCATTCAGCTTCACCAGAATCATTTTGGATTATCTCAGGTCTGGAATTACCAGTCTGTACTGAATTTAAGGTAAAGGGTATTTATTAACGTGAAAACTACCACTAGATCACATCACAAAGTGGAATAGAGCATTTTGAGCTCTGGAGATGTAGACAGACTAATAGGGGTGTAACAATAACCAAAATATCATGATATTGTATCGTCAAAAGTCTCTCAATAATATCACGGGCCATCACAATATATCGAATCACAAGTTTCTTTGCTTAAATTCATTGTTATGGTGCAAAAAAACAGAAAGAACTGCATCGATCATTATTCTTTGCTCCGTTTTGGTGCAAACTACATGAAGAAATAGCAATTCTCAGCACTTTTAAATCTTAGTTCTTTGAATTAAGTCTTGTCAGGGCATTTTAAGAGGAAAAAGTGGTATATTCACAATTTTGTTAGCCTCCACAAAATATCTTAATAAATATTATACCGTGAGATGTATATCATGAAAACGTCATACCGTGAGATTTGGATTTCGTTATATCCCTACAGACTAATAATCAACTAGAAAAGCACTCAGAGAGCGCAGACCTCCACCAAGGACTACCCCCATTTTTTATATAAATTGCGATAAAATCAGTCTTCTGGATCAGATCCGGATCAGCCTTTGGAATATGAAAGAGGATCCCATTGTCCATCCCTGAGTCAAATTTCATGGGGTTTGGTCAATAATTAACCGAGATATTGAGAAACAAAAGTTTTGGCCCCATTTACCACAATGTTAACTAAAATTTCAAAGTGATCCAGAATCCAGGATTTCTTCCAGATCATCCCCAAAATGAAATCAGTTCTTCCTTTTCACATTTCCAACAAATCCTGAAAATTTCATCAAAATCGATCCATAACTTTTTGAGTTATGTTGCTAACAGACAAACAAACAAACAGACAAACGCCAGCAAAAACATAACCTCCTTGGCGGAGGTAATTAACCAAACATGTGTGAATGAAATAAAACACAACTCCAAGTGTGACATCTGAGGGTTAAAAACATTATTAACATAGCTTAAAACTCACAAGAAATGTTGTGTAATATAGGACCTCTATGAATAAAACAACTCCTGGTTTGTTCATTAGGAAACAACATTATAACACAGATCAGAACATAGCATAATATGGACCCATGTAGCTTAATTGTCTGAATGTCATGATTTTAACCATATACGGTATCTTAAAAACTTTAGAAAACACCTGTCAGGAGGGGCAGAGTCCAATAGTTTGTAGTCTTGCTCATAACTATTAGTCACTATAAAGCATTGTTTCTTGAAGACTGGACAAAACACCAGTAATGATAGGATATAGATTATGAGCACAGTGCATTCCACCAACAGGAAGTGCTGATTTTCAAGATATTTGCATGACTTATTTTTTTTATGTCTTATTGTTTGTTTTTATTTGAAAGGAAGAGAAGGGGTATTAACTAGCCTAGGGCAAATGGGGTAAATAAACAGTTAATTCACTAATAGCCACAGTATTTCATATGCTAGTAATATTTTAGTTATCAACATAAGTAAAAGCAACTGAGTGGGCTTTTTCCACTGTGAATGCTTGTCAGTGTTAAAACCCTCTTTGTGCACTTCCTGTTGCTGATGAGTGCAAGGAGACATTTTTCCTTCTTCCTGTCTTGACTAATTATGTAACATCACAAAAATTATGCTCTAAGTCATGTGTCCTATCTGTACATTAACAGTATTTAACAACATCGTAATGGTTTTAAATTGTAATTATTTTTGCTTTTTTATCAGAGGAGCCTTATGTTTGAATTTATTGCTGTGATCTTTTATAGAGTAAAATCTGGTCTGTGTATCAGAGCTCACGCAGACACGTCGAGGGCGCCAGCTCTAAGAATAGATTATGTTTGAGACTTTGACTCTTTGGATTAGGATCTCAGAGTAGGTCAAAGGGACAGTCACCTACAAAAACATATGGTCCGTACTTTTATTGTAATATGTTCTTCCCTGAAAAATATTATTAATGAAAATTGTTTGAGTTTTAATGTACTTTTTTAGTTTTGATGTGTCTGTGTAACGCATTCTTACAAAAAAATGTATAGACAGCCCTCTTCCCTGCATTGTTTATATTGTTTATGTGTTAACAAATATAATAACCCAAAAGAAAACATGATGATGAAGCAGATCATATTATTTTCTAGTCCTTTAGTCCCTACTAGTCCCAAAACATATCTATAGCCATCTCAAAGTTAAATTAGGTTTGGTTACTTGACTGTCAATGAGAATGCACATTTTTAAGTGATTTTTGGGCAATAAAACTCAAAACTCAAAGCGCACCATGAGACTTACAAAAAAATAAATACATTTAAAAAATGAAAAAACAATAGACAACCATTTCAGATGAAATATTGGCACTGAAATAAACAAGATACAAAGATTAAGTAGCCAAAACATTATCAACAATATAAGACTCTATGGAAAGTGCATTTATGTGTCAAAATAAGTAAGTAATTTTCTTTTTCTCTTTTTTGTAGGTGTGAAAACCTGCGTGTTTTCAAATTGGGCTTGATCTCAGGGTTCTGGTGGGCGTTGGCTTTGCTCTGCTGGGTCAGTGACAGGATATTCTGCGAAATGTGGTCATCTGTCAACTTTCCCTATTTACATTGTGCTTGGTAAGCTAAAAACAAACAGAACATGGTGATTTTCTGACCCACTGCTGCTGTTTCTAGCTCAAAGTTGGCTCAGAGTATTTGTCGGATGGTTATTTAATCTTGCCTCTTTCCACTCATCAGGCACATCCTCATCTGTCTGGCTTCCTATCTGGGGTGTGTTTGTTTTGCGTACTTTGACGTGGCGACAGAGGCTCCGGAGAGAGGCCCGGTCATCATGTTCTGGCCCAATGAGAAATGGGCCTTCATTGGAGTGCCATATGTGTCCTTACTGTGCGTCCACAAGAAGCCTACTATAAAGGTGACATAAAGGTGCATTGTGTAACTTTTTGGTTGATTGTTTCTATGGATATGCCATTGCTCTGCCTGGAATGTTCCACAGTATGACATTGAACAGCTCTACTTTACATTTTTTCAATTACAGGTGGTTTTATAGCTCTAAAATACAGAGAGAAATGAACATTCTGGCTATGCATAGGGTTGCATCTCCACAGATCTGACCTGTAACTTGGTTTGGTTTGGTCTCTAAGGAGAAACACATTTGACAGACTCTCCACTAGAAAAGTTACACAATGCCCTGTTAAGGTAGTACCGCTGGGTTTACAGTGGACTCACATTAATATTGTTATTCAGTATTATTCAGTATTTTAGGCTCAGGCTGAGATGCATCAACTGGTGCTCCTTTAACTGGACAAGAAACGATAGATGTCAGATATTTAATTGATTAGGGGTGCACCGATACAATACTGGTATCAGATATCTGGAAAATACTGTTAAATTTTCTGGATAAGATATCGGCTCCCCAATATTGGTTAATTCGATATCCTGATTGCGCATATACAATTGATTTACTGGTCATAGTGGGCCCAGAAAGTCAATATTTGAACTTTTACTTACACAAAGTTGCTCTGTAGTTATTTGAGAGATAAATAACTGCTACATAACACATTTGGATCAATTTTTTTCGGTGCATCTCTATAAATTATATCGATTATCACAGAGATACAGGATGTGTTGCTCTTCTTTTGTGGCTATGACAAAGCCATCAGTATTATTTACTCAAGTGCAGTCCAATAACTGTACCAAAAACAAAGAGGCAAGGATTGATACTTTGCACTGACATCATGCTGGGGGTGTTCTGCATGTGTCTCTAAGGGTCGACACAATGCACACATTAGCAGACATTGTCAAAAGTGATTGCTAAGATTGTCTGGAAACAAAAAAAAACAAAGAATTGATTTAAACAACACATTTTTAGGAGTCTGTGATTAATACGAGCTTTGATGGTCCTGTTTAGGTGTTTGATTTTCAACAAAAAGGTGAGATCTTGTGACTGTAATTTTATGTGAGAGAGACTTGTTTACCAGCACAAATCAGATCACCTGTTGTAGTTCCAACCAGGTCAAACTCTTTCTGGTCAGATTGTGTTAAAATAAAGATCAGATTAAGTCTAATTTGAGTAACAGAGCAGTGCTTTCAGTTAGCAGCACACCCCCAGGAAATGTTGATGACGTCGGCTGCAAAGTATCAATATGCTGAGTGGAAGTGTCTATATTGAATATCTCTGCAAACCTCAGCATCATCCAAAGAGTTGCCTTAAAATATACTCACAGGATTTGCTGGAGCTCTATGGCCAGACTTAATCATCACATATCCATAATTCAGCACAGTTATATGGATATGTGTATATAACTCTAACTTTTATTGCATGTATAATGGGAATTTACTTATAAAACATGTCTACCTGTTTGCATTTAATCTAAACTGTACTATGCAGTAGATAAATCAGATAAATTATTTTTATAAACCTAAAAATGTATTAACCCTTACTACTCAAAATTTGTATTAAGCTACAGAGATATGCACTCTGTATAAGACTTTTGGCACATGTTCTCTATCATTAAAACACTTGCCTCTTCAAAATAAAGAATAATAATCTTTATATAGGTTACCGAGGCAAAAGCATAGGCAAGTGAGTAATAGCAGAGAAATGTTTTTAATTTTTACTTAAGTGGAATGTAGTATTGAATTAAAAGTCTTCTGCTAATAATAATGATGAATGTTGAGATGAACATTGTTGGTCACTAACCTTCTTATTTAGATGTCCTCAATGCACCAGCTTCCATATTACAAGAGGCACTGAATGAGAATTGAATTTCAAATTATGTTCTCTTGAACCAAATCACTTCATACAAATACTACTGCCAAAATGAGTGAGCAGAAGATGCTCAAACATCATACAAACAACTGAGAAATCAAAGGAAAAACATATTTTTCAGTAAAGTATTTTGTTAGATCTAAATGTATATTTTTAGGTGTCTTGCCAAAACCGCATTTGTACTAACATTTTCATTTTTAGGTATTTAGTTTTGAAAGAGGTTTATACGGATTATGTGAAGTATTCTATGTGTAGGACTGAAATATTGTTGTTCAAGTACATTTAATCTTGCAAGTATTGTATAAAATGGTTGGCTATACTGTTGATATGCACAGTAATGAAGAAGCAGTCAGTAGCATTTGTGGTACCTACAGAACAGTAAAATTTCTGTTATTAAAAATGTAATTATGCTATTTGTTCTGTTTGTTATCATTAATATTTTATTTCTTGGCACATTACTCAGTATCGCTTGGTAGGAAGAATAGCCAGTGCATTTTTCTTCATGTGCACAGTACTGGGATTATTTTATTTCAGCTTCACCTCAAATTCTCTTACTGAGTCTTCAATGCAAGTACAATATCAACAATAACCAACTGTTATATAGCAGTGTGTATCATGGGCATGGCATGTGTATTATAACTCTGTAGAAGGACTTAAATGGAATGATGCATTTATGAAGGTGATGGGATTTTCTGCCTGCCATTACGTACCTGGACAAAATCGCACAAAATATTTATTTTTCATAATTTATCAACTTTTGTAAACCAGTGTTTGTACAATAATATTTATTTTATGCAATAAAAGTAAATGGTACAAGTTACTTTATTGTGTTACATTTATTATAAGCTACTCACAATGATTACCAGCAGGTGGCAGTGTTTTCAAGGTTACATAATGCCACCTTCAGGATCTGTAGCCGAGTGAATTATCTCATGTTATGTAAACTGTTTTTTTATATTTTGATCTGAGTTTTGTGATTGTAGTAGTTTGATGTAGTTTTGGGCCTTTATCATGAATCTAACACACATTCAAAATTATACAGAGGAAGTCCCGCCCCCTTCGATGATCGAAGTCCCTGATTGGTCGAAGCACCTGGCTCAGCCTTGACTGGCTCACGGGTCAAACTAGAGCAGTGTCTCCTTCAGGCTCTAATTTATTTTGTCTTCACTGGGTTCGTGCTAAAGTGAATATTTCTGACACAAGGACATTCCAGCGTGTAAAGACATCGGGCCTGACGTGTGGCCGATGCGGACTCCGGGCGCGATGCTGCTGAACATATGGCGGAACAACAACTGACAGAGCGTCTGTCTCATGTAAAAAATAAAGAGGGTGTTTCCACTCGCAGCCTGTCAGCCCGGGTCTAAAATGATCTCAGGAAAGCATTTCAAAGCTCATGAAGTGAGCTGCTGCATCAAGTATTTCATCTTTGGATTCAACATCATCTTCTGGGTAAGAGTCTGTTTGTTTACTGGGTTTTAGGCCCGTGATTCACCGCATCAAACCAACTGTGATGACACCTTCATGTGTCTGATAAAAGCCCCCGTTTGTGCGTCATATTTTGCTGCGTTTCCTTTTTGTTGACGGCCCGCTGCTCTGTGCACATAGACATGGCAGTGCCATAGACTGTATGGTAGTGCCCATAGACTGTATGGTAGTGCCCATAGACTGTATGGTAGTGCCCATAGACTGTATGGTAGTGCCCATAGACTGTATGGTAGTGCCATAGACTATGGTAGTGCCCATAGACTGTATGGTAGTGCCCATAGACTCTATGGTAGTGCCCATAGACTGTATGGTAGTGCCCATGCCAGTGGCAGTGCACTTGCTGCTGTGATTGTCGCGGTTGCTGTCACTGTGTTGCCAGCATCAGGCTGTGTCCGCAGCCTGGCACAATGACCTGCTACGTAAACAGTATGCCGACAGTCTGGACAGCACACTGCATTGGCCTACTTGATCTCAAATGCGCTTCCCGTCATTTAAGATGTTTTACCAGGTTAATTAGCCTGTAATAGTCTAAATACGACAGGCAGAACTGGGTATTGACCTATTGATGAGTTCTTTTTTCGTGTGAGTTCAGTGGAGCTTTACAGAAGCAGAGGGTTAAAAGTAAAAGTCGACCTTTGACCTAAAAAATGTGCCAGACTCATTCCAAAAATGGACGCACTAAATGTGTCCCTGTGGACAAAACTGTAGGCTTTATGCTACTTTTAGAAGCACCCCAACAATTTATTTGAATTCAGAAAATTATTAACCAAACCATCTACCACAATTTAGGCTAATAAACAATAACATTAAAAGATAAAATAATAAGTATAATTCTTTTGATTTATTTGTTTTGATTTATATGGAGCGTTTTGGATGATCATTTGGATAACATTGCATTATTAATTCATTCCATACTTTGTGGTAAGCTACTATTGTAGTTACAGCTGCCCTGGGGCAGACTGACTGAAGCAGGGCTGCTGATCTGTGCCATCTGCCCCTCCAACCACCAACAACATCCACACACACACACACACACACACACACACACACACACACACACACACACACACACACACACACACACTACTTTCATACTAGGCAATGTGGATGAAGGGCCTTACCTTAGGACACAACAACAGCTTTTTTCACTGGCACCCCACTGTGGCACCTGATATTCCCAATGGTCTCCCATCCAAGTACTAACCAGTCCCTGCTTCTGAGATCTGACCATAAATGTTTCGCCCATTTTGTTGAATGAAGAGCATCTTATAGAGAAATGTCCATAAGGTCTCTTTGTGATATACAACATGTTACAGTCTCCGAAACTCTGTTAATGCTTTTGCCTTGTTGTCTTTCAGTTCCTTGGAGTGGCATTTCTAGCCATCGGTTTATGGGCATGGAGCGAAAAAGTATGTGAGATGTTTTCCTCTCTACTCTACAGAACATCAAAAATAATGACTAATTAGGCCCATTTCTGTATTTGACAATAATGTAAATAGTAGCTAAAGGTGGATTTTTAAAATTACAATCAGGAATGTCGTATTTTTTCTGGAAGGACTTCTCAAATAACAATGTCTTCTATGTCAATATGTAAAAGAATCAGTTTAATGAGAAATTCTGCTGTCGAGAAACTAAACTATTAAAGGGCCCATATTTCGCAATTTTTTTGATCAATGTTATAAAGTTGTTTCCTCATCATAAACATACCTGGAATTGTGTTTTGTTTCTTTCACACATCTTTAACATGCAAATCCTGCATATTTAGGCTGATTTCTTCTATCAGACAGAAAATGCTCAGTTCCACCTTGTGATCTCATGTGGTAATACAGTGCTCCACTATGTTTTTAAACTCCATACACCTTCACTAGAATCATTTGGATGATTTCAGCCCTGGAATTGCATATCTCTGGTGAACTTAAGGAAAAAGGGTAACTGTTAACTTGAAAACTACCCCTACTTCATAAGGAGAGAATTTTGAGCTTTGGAGATGTAGACAGACGAATAATGCAGGATTACTTAAACATGTGTGAAAGAAACAAAACACAACTCCAGGTATGAGGAGGTTTGAGGAGGTAAAAACATTCTAACATAGCTTAAATCTCACAAGAGTGAATGTTGCGTAATGCGTAATATAGGAAAATAGGAATATTGTATAGGAAAAAATACAATATGTTATTAATGTTATTGTTGGATAGAGCACAGTCTTTGGCCTAGAGCAGTTCTTACATAAACTATTTTCAAATGCATATTCATTTTTTTCACTGTTTTTTTCCATAAGGGGGTCCTCTCGAACATTTCGTCCATCACCGACCTGGGGGGCTTTGACCCTGTGTGGCTTTTCCTGGTTGTGGGAGGTGTTATGTTCATCCTGGGATTTGCTGGTTGCATCGGAGCACTGCGAGAAAACTCCTTCTTGCTAAAATTTGTATGTGCTCTCTTGAATCATATAGTATTTATCTAATCTGATAATTTAAGATTTCTAACATAAATCTGTTTGTTTTTTAGTTTTCAGTTTTTCTGGGAATTATCTTTTTTCTGGAGCTGACTGCTGGGGTCCTAGCATTTGTTTTCAAAGACTGGATCAAGGACCAGCTTAACTTTTTCATCAATAACAACATTCGTGCATACAGAGATGACATTGATCTACAAAACCTGATTGACTTCACCCAAGAATATGTAAGTTTATGTAGTTTTGTATCCAGCAACAATGGATTATAAGATCATGTAGGCGATTGTGCCTGTCCCTGGGCAGCACCGGGGGGCTTGAGGGGGCACTAGCCTCCCGT